CTTCCCCCTTGGTGGTCACCCCCTCCTCTCCCCTAAACCTATATATACTAGAGGATTTCCACCCTATGTAACACAAGTTTTGGAGCCTCCTCTAGTTGATCTAGATCTAGTTCTATTGGTCTTAGTTGACTAATTAGAGCTAGCCATATCCACATATAATCCTCATAATTAGAAGCCCCATGTGGTTCTAATTTCCTCCCTCTAATTCTCCGACGATGATTAGCTCTGGACGGCGAAGCACTATCGGATCGTGAAGACCGTACGCTTGCAACCAAGCAGAGAGACCGTGCTTTTAGTCTTCCGTTCGAGGGATCGTTCGAGGGCGGTTCACGAGATTGTCATCAACTTTCGAGGGACTCCAAGTACAATCTACACCAACTCATCTACTTCCGCTACACTCCAGAGTCGGTAACGATCGTTGATCTAAACCCGATATGCATCTTCATATTGTTCCTAGGTGTTCGTAGGGCGATTTTTTTTGTTTTCTACTACATTTCCCAACACTTTCCCTTTGCGGTTAACCACACTCGGACCCTTCCCTCTTCGTGCGTTCTCCTTCCCGTGAATCTGGAGCTAACTGGAGATACGACACTTGCCTGCCATAACCATGGGTCGGAGTAACAAGAGCACTTTAGCCCCTACATGGCGTGCAAGATGTCAGAGTGTGTACCCAGGACACAAGGGGTCGGGATACCATGTATTTGTGAGTTCGGCCAGGGGCTAAACGCCTTGTCAATCCATGGGCAGAGGCAAACCAGGATACATGAGGATTTTTATACAAGTTCAGGCTGCCATCTTAGCATAAAACCCTACGTCATGTTGGTATTGATATAAACTAGGGGATACAAGTGCTTTTGTGTTAAAAATGTGGTGGTCGGGCTGAGACCAGTGGTGGTCGGGGTACTAGTTAGAGTGCTTGAACAATCCTAAATCTACTCTTCCTCCTCTCTGCCTATCTTCTCCTTGCCTTGTAGTTGCGTGTGGTGTGGTGGTAGCTAAGTGTTGTTCCCTTGTTCGACCATGGACCTCCCCTTTTATAGGCCTGGGGGATACCACATTTGGTCTACAAAATACATGTGAAAGTATACGAATAATGATCAGCGAGGTGTACCACTTACCTCTGTCACATTGCAGTAGATGAGTTGACACTGTTGCGTGCGAGGTGCTTGAGTATTTCCATCGACATGACGCGCCGCACCGCCCTTCTCCTGCTTTACACCGCACCAGCATCCGGTCTTGTCATTCGTCCCTCCTGGTTGTCGTGGTGATGACCCTACCCGTAGCCCTGCACTGGGTTGGGGGGGGGGGGTAGGCCGACCGGGTATTTAATGTCTGATTGATGGAGTATTCTACAAGGTAGTCCTCTCTGGTCGACGTGTGCCCCGTCTGCTCGGCGCCTCAGCCCCCCGAGTGTGTCATGGCTGGCATCATGAGTCTCTCCGGGGACCTTCTATGACATATTTCACAGCGTGCGACCCGTTGCTCTGTAGTTCCCGCACAAGTATTTTTACAAAGATTCATTTTCACCAATCTTTTCCCAATGCTAGATATTTCTGAGGAGGCGTTGATGTATGGTTTTTGCGTATACCCTGATATCCAGTGTTCCGTCAACCTGCTGCAGCACGCGCCAGGGCAGACATCGTTCCGCCGCATGACTACACGCTGACCAACATGCATCCCTTGCCGAGAGTCGTGATAGTTCGCCGGCTGTCGTCACAGAAACCTCGTCGGGGATCGCCGAAGATTCGGCTGGGAGGGGTTTAACGCGCGGGGGGAATGCTGGGTGTTCTGTGGAGGATGAGGGAAAAAGGGACAAGTCATTGGCTTCGATATGCGCCGCAGTGAACAATCCAATTGCGGTGACACGGCTGGTAGCGTGCCAAGATCCCTACAACAGAATAAAACCCCCCGCAAAAAGAATACAACAGAATAAAACGGCTACAACAACGTTCGCTAGGTAGGGCTTAAAATTGGACGGACGCGAGATAAGATTTTCCAAAACGAAAAGAAAAAAGAAAGAAAGAAAGTTTCCACGTGATCCTACCCCACCAACTGGGCCCCATCACTCACCGTCGCCCCAATCACCTCTCCACACGTGAGATCACCTCATCCTCCGTGCCAACCATGTGGC